AGACCAAAAAGCCTGGTTCGGGATCGAATGCGCACAAGTGCTCCCATAGGGGGCACCAGACTTGGCAGGGGACGGAGGAACCAAAGCGCTGGTTTGGGAAATGGGGCTCCCATAGGGGGCACTTGGCAGGGGACGGAGGAACCAGAAGTGGAAGGGGGGAGTGTAACGTGTGTTATTTTAATTTGAAAAATCAAGCTTTACAGTCACTTTAAGCATCATTTCTTGTTGTATGTGTGGCCTAATTGGTGTCCTAGGAGGTTTGGTTGTGGAAGAGTTGAACATTATTACCCTCTAAAGCAGGGGTGTCAAACTGGCGGCCCTCCCGCTGTTGCGAAGCTACAAGTCCCATCATGCCTCTGCCTTTGGGAGTCATACTTGTAACTGTCAATCTTGCAATGCCTCATGGGACTTGTAGTTTGGCAACAGCTGGAGGGCGCCCAGTTTGACACCCGTGTTCTAAAGCTTTTGATCTAAATGGAAGCATCTAAAAATCTACTTACAGTAAACTGAGGGGGAAATAGTTGCTAAGGCAGGGTTATCTGTGAGAGGTCTGGTAGCAAAAACAACCTATTGTTCACTGCATCCGTGCTGAAATGGTTTGGGCTACAGATATTATGGTAGAGCAGACCAGCCAACACCCCTAAACACTGATCCTTCCTTAGGATAGACCACATTGCCAATGTCTTGGCAATGGTCATTTCACCAGCATTAAAGGGGAAACAATTGCAACAATTCAGAATATAATTCAGGTTACCTGAAATAAATATCTAAATATATATTTTATGTTTTATTTTTTGTTACATTTATTGTTTTATGCATGTATAGTTTAGATAACATATGAGAACTAGGCCAGGACATACACTCTTAGTGCATTTTTATGATTAAAATGTTTAGCGTCACACATTTTCATTTTGATTGTAGTTCACTTTTGCATTTGGTTCTAGCTGAGATTTGCAACACTGCTTCAGTTTATGTTCCAGCCCCGGTTCCTTCTGACAACAAAGACAGGACCCTTGTCCTATTTATTTCTATTTACATTTGCTCAGTGGAATTCGTTTGAGACATATTAAAGCTGAACTTTTGGAAAAAGCTAAATACACAGATGAAATATACAATATACATTTTTTTCTTGCAAAAGATTTATCATTCTCTCCATGCAGGCCTCAAATTTATACAGCTCTGCTACACAACATATCCCATATTTAATATGCGTGTGTGTGTGTGTATACAGTATACTGGGTATGTTTTATATATATATATATATATCTCACAGAAGTGAGTACACCCCTCACATTTTTGTAAATATTTTATTATATCTTTTCATGTGACGACACTGAATAAATGACACTTTTCTACAATGTAAAGTAGTGAGTGTACAGCTTGTATAACAGTGTAAATTTTCTGTCCCCTCAAAATAACTCAACACACAGCCATTAATGTCTAAACCGCTGGCAACAAAAGTGAGTACACCCCTAAGTGAAAATGTCCAAATGGGGCCCAATTAGCCATTTACCCTCCCTGGTGTCATGTGATTCATTAGTGTTACAAGGTCTCAAGTGTGAATGGGGAGCAGGTATGTTAAATTTGGTGTTATCGCTCTCACTCTCTCATACTGGTCACTGGAAGTTCAACATGGCACCTCATGGCAAAGAACTCTCTGAGGATCTGAAAAAAATTGTCGCTGTACATAAAGTTGGCCTAGGCTATAAGAAGATTGCCAAGACCTTGAAATTGAGCTGCAGCACAGTGGCCAAGAACATACAGTGGTTTAACAGGACAGGTTAACTCAGAACAGGCCTCGCCATGGTCGACCAAAGAAGTTGAGTGCATGTGCTCAGCATCCTATCCAAAGTTTGTCTTTGGGAAATAGACGTATGAGTGATGTCAGCATTGCTGTAGGGGTTGAAGGGGTGGGGGGGTCAGCCTGTCAGTGTTCAGACCATACGCCGCACATTGCATCAAATTGGTCTGCATGGCTGTCATCTCAGAAGGAAGTCTCTTCTAAAGATGATGTGCAAGAAAGCCCACAAACAGTTTGCCGAAGACAAGCAGATTAAGGACATGGATTACTGGAACCATATCCTGTGGTCTGATGAGACCAAAATAAACTTATTTGGTTCAGATGGTGTCAAGAGTGTGTTGCAGCAACCAGGTGAGGAGTACAAAGACAAGTGTGTCTTGCCTACAGTCAAGCATGGTGGTGGGAGTGTCATGGTCTGGGGCTGCATGAGTGCTGCTGGCACTGGGGAGCTACAGTTTATTGAGGGAACCATGAATGCCAACATGTACTGTGACATACTGAAGCAGAGCATGATCCCCTCCCTTCGGAGACTGGGCTGCAGGGAAGTAATCCAACATGATAACGATCCCAAACACACCTCCAAGACGACTACTGCCTTGCTAAAGAAGCTGAGGGTAAAGGTGATGGACTGGCCAAGCATGTCTCCAGACCTAAAACCTTTTGAGCATCTGTGGGGCATCTTCAAACAGAAGATGGAGGAGAGCAGGGTCACATCCACCAGCTCCGTGATGTCGTCATGGAGGAGTGGAAGAGGACTCCAGTGGCAACCTGTGAAGCTCTGGTGAACTCCATTCCAATTCGGACATTTTCACTTAGGGGTGAACTCACTTTTATTGCCAGCGGTTTAGACATTGAGTTATTTTGAGGGGACAACAAATTTACACTGTTATACAAGCTGTATACTCACTACTTGACATTGTAGCAAAGTGTCATTTCTTCAGTGTTGTCACATGAAAAGATAGAATAAAATATGTACAAAAATTTGAGGGGTGTACTCACTTCTGTGAGATACTATGTATGTACTGTATGCATGTGTGTGTATATTATTTATATATATATAGTGTGTGTGTGGTTTTTTTTTTTTTTTTGTTTTTCTGTGAGCATATATCTGTTTTGCCTGAAACATGTCTAAATCCACTTACTGTTGACTGGTTTGCTATCTTTTACTGGAAGTCTTTTCCGAGCATCAGTCTGATCAATCTGAAACATACATTTAATGCTTTGCAATTGAAAAAGAAAGGCGGTTATGACAGGTTATTCGTTCGTTGTTACATCAGTGCCTCCCATCCCAGTAATTGCCATTTTTTTGCCTGCAGTCACTTTTCTGCCCATCATTTTCCTCCTGGTTCCTTCCATTTTCAGAACAAAGTTTATGGAGTTGGGTAGTGCCCACAGGCCTCCCACCACTTCCTGTTGAATCAGCCAACATTCGAGCCATGTATGGTCTCTCTGAACAGCATGAGGCATAGCTGTTCAGAGAGATGCAATCACTTTACTAATACTTGCTACTTATAACATCAAGGGTTCTGAAAGACCAGCACCTGAAAAAGTGGGGTGTGACATATTGGCTGATTTCTACATTCAATATGAAGATGGAAAATCTCTGTAACCAGCATCTCCTTATTTCAGTGAGCCTTGTTATCTGGAAAATCATGACAATTTTAGTTTTTTGATGTATAAAACCTACTTCACTTGAATCAGTAGGGTAGATGTCAACATTACCCAATCACTTTGGGCTGGGCATAGATGACTTGTTATTTTTTTTTTTTTTTCGATCAGCCAGGGGGCTGATTGAAGAAAAAAAAAAAGAATTCCTCCAGGAATGGAGGAATCCTTTCTGCTGTGCCATTGTATACTGATAGTGGGACACCTCTTCTGTCAGAAAACACTGATGAGTGACTGCAGTTAGCTAATTGACAAAAGTCTTCCAACATTCAGTTCAACAGAATTCAATCATAAGATCAACTTCTGTTGAGTGGGAACAGCCATAGCTGGATCGGAATACGGCCTGTTGCTGCAGCCAATTTTGTATCAATCTATAGCTAGCTTTACCTAGTAAAAATTTTAAAAAAAAATCAACTTTTTTTCCCACGAATAAAAATGTCCCCAGCCTAGGCATCCTAGGTCACATGGTATCTGGGTACCAATCATTACCAGGAGAGTTTGTTTTCAGTCAGCAGTGAGATAAGTTAACCAAAGAGGCAACCCTATCTAAAGAAATAAAATAAAACACGTTCATTAATTTCATCTGATGTCTTCCAGGGGTTTAGCGGTTAGCAGTTCTGCCTAATGTTGCTTTAGGGTCCTTTGTTCCATCCCAACCAGGGCAATAACTGTAAAGAGTTTCCAATGTTTGCGTGGGCTTCCTCCCATACTCCCAAGGACATGATGCTAGTTAGGTTCGCTGGCCCTAATATGTTGTATATGAATCTGAGATCGAGGCTTTATAATGTAAGCTCCTCGAAGACAGGGACTGATATGAATGTACGATGTGTAAAATGCTGCATATATTCTTGGTGTTATACAACATACCGTAATAATAATATTTTACAAAGAATTAGAAATTCCCGTGTGACCTGTATTAGTAAATTCATTTATGGGTTTGCTTTGTTTCTATAGGCAACCAGACACCATCCTTTCTTGTTTTCATAGCCAAGGGCCCTGGATATTGACACTAGTGGACATTAGGCATTGGCAGAGACCTTCAAGGAAATACTAAAAGTTCTTATTGCTGGAAGTAAACAGCTGTGCCAGCACTCGATCATTTTCTGTACAGCCTGAGATGATGAACTCTCTTATTAGTTCTTCTAATAAAAGCCTGTAGACACACAAAGATGATTATCTCTGTTAGCAGCACAGTGTTGGCAAAAGACTATAATCAAAGACGAAACAAAAAAATGTCATTGTTGGAGCCTTTGGTTCGTTGGTGTAATTATGCAGTCATAATTATGGACCACAATGGGGCATTCTTTGTCTTTTGCTCATATGTAGGCAGAAGTCCTGACAGTCCTATGGGTAAAAATAAACACTCTCGCTTGTGTTATTACAAACAAGATTAGCCTCAACAGCTAAAGAGAGGAGGCTGATGACCCCCCTGACCTCCCAACAAGAGGTGGTGTTGTCTGTCATGCTGATTATCTTACATAATGCATTGTATTGTTGCCTGCTTTGTTAGTATTCTTTGTTATTCTCATTACAGCATGTGTGGAGTGAAAGTGAAGACTGCTTGCCTTTCCTGCAGCTAGCTCAGGATTACATTTCCTCCTGTGGGAAGAGAAGACGCTTCATGAAATACTGGAGAAAGTTTTCAAGTCATTCAGGCCAGTAAGTTTGTTGGCTTTTATTAAAGGCAAGCAATAATGCTTTGGGGTTAATTTTATTTTACAGTTTTTCATTTATCAGTCTTTGAGCTGTTTGTATATATTTTTTTATATAAAATGATTATTTTACTTTTAATACCTGGTCTACCCATGGTACTGGTGTCATAGTGTATTATGGTGTACTACTGGGACATCACGTCAAAAGCTGTTTGCCTTCAGACTGTCTCAGGGTCAGAGACCAGTAGCTATAGCAGTAGAGAGGCCAAGTACACTGATCGGTCACCTCGGTGGATGACACGGGCTCACTCAAGGCACAGGGTCTAAGCACTAATTGGTATTCACCAGAGTTCCTCGTGGTGGAGATGGGTTTTACAGCTCCTTAGTACCAGGTCACTGTCGTCAGGATCGCCTTACCAGGAGGTTAGCTGTAGAGAGGCCAAATACACTGATGGGTCACCTCGGTGGATGACACGGGCTCACTCAAGGCACAGGGTCTAAGCACTAATTGGTATTCACCAGAGCTCCTTGTGGTGGAGATGGGTTTTACAACGCCTTAGTACCAGGTCACTGTCGTCAGGATCGCCCCACCAGGAGGTGAGCAGTAGAGAGGCTAAATACACTGACGGGTCACCTCGGTGGATGACATGGGCTCACTCAAGGCACAGGGTCCAAGCACTAATTGGTATTCACCAGAGCTCCTTGTGGTGGAGATGGGTTTTACAGCTTCTTAGTACCAGGTCACTGTCGTCAGGATCGCCCCACCAGGAGGTGAGCAGTAGAGAGGCCGAATACACTGACGGGTCACCTCGGTGGATGATACGGGTTCACTCAAGGCACAGGGTCTAAGCACTAATTGGTATTCACCAGAGCTCCTTGTGGTGGAGATGGGTTTTACAACTCCTTAGTACCAGGTCACTGTCGTCAGGATCGCCCCACCAGGAGGTGAGCAGTAGAGAGGCCAAGTACACTGACGGGTCACCTCGGTGGATGACATGGGCTCACTCAAGGCACAGGGTCTAAGCACTAATTGGTATTCACCAGAGCTCCTTGTGGTGGAGATGGGTTTTACAACTCCTTAGTACCAGGTCACGGTTCTCGGGATCGCCCCACCAGGAGGTGTGTAAGCCGTAGTCCAGTAGCAGATAGGGAACACACAGAAGTATAGTCAGTAAACAAGTGAAAGGTTGGTAACAAGTTGTTGCAGGTTGGGATCAAGCAGAATGGTAGTTGAGGAACATGCGAAAAGTTGGTAACAAGTGGTAGCAAAGATAAGACAGCCGCAGGAGAGACATGTGTGAAACATTGGTTGAAGAGAACACAATAATCTGGCAAACGAGAAGTGTAAAGGCATGGATTTAGTAGGAAGTTCATGGGCAGAGCACAGGGTTCAAGACAAGACACAAGGCAAGGTTGTCTTAAGAGATCAGGCAGGGAGCTGTCCAGCATCTCAGTAAGAAGAAGAGACATTACTAGACACTGCAGAGGTCGCAGGTTCAGACCTGGGTCCAAACAGTCTCCCTGATTAAAACTCCAGAAGACCTTATCTGAGAAGAGCAAACAGTGAGGAGGTGAGTGACTATGATGACTCATTCAGCTGTATGTGAAAGTTTCTGCTTTAGGTCTGTATACAGGCCTGTTTTTCCAGAACAGAACAGCTAGGAATAGCCAGATAAACATTTGAAAAGGGAACTAGAGTGCAAAAAATTATATTTACTTGACTTAAAAATGTTTTTTACATTTTTATTTTTACTTTCCAATATAATAAATGAATTTATATACAAATACACTGTACATTTCCACAATAAAGATTATTTCCTGGTCATTAGCACCATCAGTGGACTGTTCAGGATGTCCAGCAAACACTGCAGTTCAGAATGTTCATATAATGTAATATTACAAAATACTGTGAAGCACTATACTTAACCCCTTCAACATAATACAAAACAAAAACGTGAGGTATTATACAGTGTGTATATAAAGCCCTTTTTTATAACACCATAATATGATTTTCACTATGAAATCACCGTCCATTCTGCATCTAATAAATACAAAGTGACCACACCACCATCAGGTATCTGCTCACCTTCTGTAAATGACTTCACATTTAATGTTCGGTTATAAAACGCTTTTTGTCCCTTCTGTGGACATCACGGATGTTGCTTGTGTCTGGTAGTGCGCTCCACGCGCTTCCTCACAACACCGCTCTGACTCATGTTTTATCCTTTAAAATTATTTTATTTCCGATAAAACAGATACAGTTGCACTCGCTTGTACAGGGTGCCCAGTCACACTTCAAAATACAGCATGTACAGAAGATACAGCGATCCTGTGCAATATCGTTCGCACCTCTATGAATCCCGAATGTTGTGATGTCATCCAAAGATCCCACCCCTTGTGTTGAATTATTTGAGATTCACATTTGTGCACAGCGGCTTTAGTTTTGAAGTTATTTTGCTGTTTATTTAATAGTCACAGGGTAAAACAGAGTGGTACTTTCATTGTTGCATAGCAGCTCGCTGGATTGTCAGTTTACAGTAATATTATTATATTATTATTATTATTATTATGTTTATTATACAGGATTTATATAGGAACAACAGTTTGCTCAGCGCTTTACAAAATGAAGGTAGACATTACAGTTACTATACAATTTGGTACAAGAGGAAACAGATGTTTTATGTAATCCATTGTAGTCAGAGTTCACAGAGGTTCTCACATTTGTTGTTTGAATCTTACCCTAACACTAAAACATCAGTCTTCCTTAAGCTGAGCATACTGTTCATGGATCAATTTTATTTCCATCAGCCAATGAACTGATGGAAAAAACTAGGCTGATGGGAAAATACTGAACGGATCCCCCCATCCACACAAGCGAGGTGGATGGAGGAATCCTTCCCACTGTGCTATTGTATTCTGACAGTGAGGACTCCTGTGCTGTCAGAATACACTGATCAGCACTGCAGCCATTTGACTACAGTGCTGATCAAACAAAAATTTTCTATCAAGCCTGTTCATGAGAAGTTCATCATTAGATCAACTTCTCACAAATGGAAACAGCCATAAATACATCGAAATGCATTCAGTCCTTGCTAAACTGGCTGAATTTCAGTCAATCTTTGGCCAGCTTTAGCCTGCAATGACTGTTCAGTCTTACACTTCCTGTTTGTACTTTATGCTGTCATAGCCTTTTATCCCAACCGCATCTACCAAACTCCCAAATATTGGGTGCAGTCATCCCCTCCACATTCCTTTCTTGTACACACTGTTGCCACTATACCCTGTGCTCTCCACTCCCACACATAGCGCCCTTTATTATACCCTCTGCTGATCCTGTCCTGCACATACCATACAGTTTGAAACATCATTTAGTGTCATACCCTCCACATCTCTTTCCATACACATACTGCCCACTAAGACACTTTGTTTGCAGTATCCGCAAATGTGTCTGCTCTGGAATGGGCACACTTGATATAGTATGCTAGTATACTGTATAATAATTACAAATGGATTGTTAGGTCGGCAAGTAGAGATCCATAGATTACCTTAGCTTGGTTTATTAATTACTATATAATAAATTAGTCTGTAACTTGGTTCACATTCATTAGTTTCTGAGTTGATCTTCTAATCTAATAATTCAGTTTAATGCTATAGTTTATTTGTTACTGAATTTGTTATGAAACTTATTTACTAATTATTTATGTTTCTTTTTACTAAATATTATTGGGTCAGTGATACCTAACAATAATGAATACAAATTTCTTAGCTTTTAGGCCCCTTTCAGACAGGGCCGACCCCTCAGCGGAAATGCTTGCTGAGCGGGGGATCTCTCTGCTGCAAGTGTATGACATGCATCAGCGGAGCAGACACAGACACAGCCTGCTGTTTTCTATGGGGTGGTCAGATGGAAATGGACCGCCTGTCTGTTTCCACCCGACTGTCATCCGACCTGATCCCCATCTGTCTGTCTTTAGCGTACAGGATCAGATCAGATGCTTGAGGTTGTCAGCGTACACATGTCCGCTGACACCCGTCGCTCCATAAAGAGCTATGGATGGTCCAGTCGGGTCCGCCTGAAAAACTGACAGGCAGACCTGATCTGACCGTCCGTGTGAAAGGGGCCTCTTCTACACAGGGCGGTCTCCGATTTAGATCACCAGGGGATCTGTCTGCTGGTCATCTGTTTAGCAGAGCAGAGCGGGCAGATAACAGGTCTGTCTGCTTAGTGTCTTCAGAGCAGCCACGAACACAGCCCGCTCTGCTGTATGGGCGGCCTGGAGTAAATGGGCTTTACTGTCTGTTTACACCTGATTGCCCTCTGATCCGATCCACCTAAACAGAGGTGAACAGATCCCCTTCCTTTTTTTCTTTTAGTGGACCAGATCAGATTGGAGGTAGACAAGTGTAAGTCACCAGCGGATCTTCTCCTTATGCTGTGGAAATGTCTTAAACTTGTTTGTTGTGTCAAGAAGAACAAGACCTAGCAGTATGTTTATTAGGGAATCTGGGTGAAGAAAAGTTTTTGCCAGAGGTTTAGAAATTTTTTATGGGTTGTGTGCAATAAATAACAATCTAGAAATGGGCACTGTAGCCTCTAGTAAGCACTTTTTTTCCACCCAGGTGCCCTAATAAACATGCTGCTAGGTCTTGCTTTCATTGCGTTTGACACAACAAACAAGTTTAGGACATTTCCACAGCATATGGAGAAGATCCGATGGGGAGCCCTGACAATAAGGACACTCCGAGTCATTTCTACATCCCCACTGAAATAGCTTAAGTGGAGTACGGTATACTTTGTGTATATTAAATAGTTGGGAAGCTCTTTGGATAGGGAGACTAAAGCCACTTGTTCCAGAATAGTTTTAAGATTCTGTATTATTATATGCAATATATACCCACCAACCAGGCCATACAGTATAATTGATACAGATATAGTACAGTATAAAAATTGAGTGTCCAGTGGCTTTCTGTATCTGCCTAGAAAAAGGGCACCATCTGAATCTAACAAGATGGTATCCTTATCTGGAAGAGTGTTAAAGTTGTTCAGGAACTAACTTGGCTGTTACTGCTAAAAAAACATACAATCATTAGACTGACAATTTTATGTCTTTAAAAAAAACCTGAAAAGGTGTTTCTGCAATCCCTTTTAGGATAGAAATTTAACGCAAACCTGTTGGTTCACCAGTAAAGAAGAATCAGATCAAAATAGCCAACCTGCTTGCATCCTCTGATTATCTTCAGAGCACTTGAAATCTCAAACACAAGACGCATTATTTTACAAATATCGAAAACCATTTCCATGATCGTATCCTTTTGTGTCCCTGCTTTTCTCCTGGCCTTTAAATGTGATGATGGGCCCCACTGGCAAATAAGAAGGCGCCAGAGCAGAAGGTGGCAAGCCAGGGCTTGATCACCTAGGTGAAGATCTGAAGATCATATGAGGATGCGAGCAGGCACGTGATAATTCCTGTGCTGTGGACCCAGGACCACAAGGTAAGGTGAGTTTACAGGTTTACTTAAAAAAGGGGGAATTGATTAGTCTGTGCACTGGGCAGTAAAAATACATTTCATGTTCTTGAAACTATTGGATCACCCAGGTTAGCACATTGTCAGGCGTTCTTTAACCTAAACCTATTTGGTTAGGGCCAATGTTCTGTTGTGCTGTGGCCTTCAGTTGTTCTCTTGATAGAAGTGGACATAAATCTGCATTAATCAAAAGGCATATAGTCAAATTAGCATGCTTAAGGCTTCTATTTAGGGAAACAGAGGTAGCTTCATGCACACTTCCAGTAAAAGTCATATTATTAGGACAAGGTTTTCTAACCTTCTCGCTTACTTTTTAACCCTGCTTGCTTTAACCCATGCTTGTTCAGGACTGTAACTGCTGCCTTGTAAACACCGGATTGTCACATGATCAAAAAAGGCAAGATCAGGAAATTGTCATCCAATGTCTGTGAACAACTTAACATGCCATAGACTTTTTTCCACATCACTGGCTCCCAGACAGTGGCTTAGTAACCATATATGCTTTCATTTCCTTCTAATGTTGCTGGCGAGAGATTCTTAACAGGCTCTACATAACATGTCCATCACTATACACTTTTTATATACAGGAGGTAAAGTACAGGTTGCCAGATTTATACCATCTCACTAAAGCGTTTGTCTTTACTGTTACATTTTTAAATTATCTTTGTTCATAGTGTTTCTAGTCATTTGTTATATATTTCTGTTTCAATATTTTTATTAAGAAAGTTTTGTTTTAAGAATACAACAAGCTCAAGATACGCCCACGTAGGGGCAGAGCAGAACAGTAACACATAAAGAGATACATCCTGCTGACTTGTATTAGCCAAATAACGAAATGTCCAGTGACCTCAAGGAGGGATAGCAAAAAACCGAACCAAATAATAGCAGCAGTAATCCAACATATTATCGGAAAAAGAAGAGGAAAGAAAAAAAGGTTAGAAGAAAGGAGAAAAAAAAAAAAAAGGAATCAGAAAGAAAACATGGAGGAAAGGGAAACTAGAAGAGTCACGGATCCAGGGCTAGCACAGGCAGCGACTATAGGAGGCCATAACTAGTAGGAGGCAGGGATGGCAAGGAATAACGTATCCAAGGTTCCCAAACCTTAAGGAATCTCAGATGAGAATCATTTGTTATATTTTAATGTTGTTGTCAAGTTAACAAAGACTGAGGACTTGTTTCCAGCAATGTGCTACGGCCTACAGATCACTTCATATTTTTTATGTACTGTCATTTACTGGTCTTTATAGCCTCCATATTGTAATATGTACTGCAGTCCTGATATGATTTAGCCTTATCTCTCACATTTTCTCCTACTTCACAGCTACTTGGTCTCCCAGATGTGGATGATGACACGTTTGAAGAATATAATGCGGATGTGGAAGAGGATGAACCAGAGGCAGATCACCAGCAGATGGGGGTCAGCCAGCAGTAGAATATCTAGGATATTCCTTATACAGAATAAGAAAACAAACCCAACATATTGTAATAGTAAACACATATGACAAAAGTGCAGAAAACACTCACAGTGAGCAAGGCATCCGGCTTGCCAACAGCAGCGTTTCCATGGGAGTTCTGTTGCTTTCCATCACTATTGATCCTATAGTATCTTTTAAGGCTGTTGAGCGCATTTTGAACAGCTCTACATGTGATGATTAAGTGCTGGTTACTGAGTACATGACAGTGGGTGTGGAATTATGTAAATGTGACCTATTCAAGGGATTGTCATTGGTTCCAATTACAGGAAGAAGTTCAGCCACAATATTTTTGGTGAAAATAGTTTACCCTCAGTGCAAAGTAAAATGTTAGCAACATTGGGCATGAACCCCCAAAATATATTTACTTTCCTTATGTGCGTTTTCTCAGCTCCACAAAGTATGAAACGTCATAGAGCCAACACTGGTTTGCACACCTATTTTAAAGTCTAAATTTAAACATGCTTAAAGACGAAGGAAAGTCTACTGAGCAGTAGAAGTGAATGCATGGGTACTCTATAGTAGTGCCCCTACCTAGAACATGGGATTTGTGCTACAGTGTATACCTGTAATCTGGGGCCTATAGGAAAAGCTAAGGAAAAAAACAGTCTATTAGGACCACAAGTTTATACTCTTGCTTAAGTAAAGCCTCTTTCTAACCCTTAAAGTGGCCTGTGACTATTTACTAATCTGCCACTAATACGTTGGTCACAGATCATCAGTCCCACCAAATATGTTCTGCATTCAGAAACTGAATTCTATAGTTAAGTTATTATTGTTTTGTGGGGACAGAATAGACAACTGTGCTAGATAAAAAAAATATATGTAGATGGCAACACAGCCCTGGAAATTGACAGTACATTATACATAATACACCTTAGCATGCTAGTAATAGATGAATTCTGTCTTGTTCTGGTTTCTGTATTGAGCTGTAAGCAAATCATACAATCATGCTGTTGGGTAAATAATAATAATGAGATGCTGATAACCTTCATGAAGTGATGAACCAAGAAAAAAGAGAAGCCAGGCAGTGAGATTATAATTACCCCTCAATTTTTGATGTGTTATTTGGTATAGGGTCCCATCTTGGTCTGCAGACAGTAGGGTAGTCATTGTCAGATGTTCGTCCCCCTAACCATATGCAGCTGAGGAACCTGACTCCTTTTGGTTTTCTCATTAACACCTTTCATGGTCAGACTGGTTAACATAGCTCACTGATGTACTTTTTTTTATTCTAGTCTGCTGACATGCAAACCCTTGGCTTCCTGTGAGTAACATCCCTCCACTCCATGTATTTGCTAGTACTGGGGCAGTCCGTTAGCCTCAGTGCACCTAAACTGTACCACAAGAGATATGTTATGAACAAGCTACCGAAGTGTAAAAAGCTCCTTCTGTTGTATCTACTATTGCTTTTTTGATAACGGCCCATGGTTATAAAACAAATACCTGTATATGTAAGATGCTGGTGCCCTATAATGGGCTGCATAATTTGCACTGTTTTGGGTAAACTGGAATTCACTACACGGAGCAGGAAATGTATACCTTTATATATTTAGCAGAAATGCTTATTAACCACTCATCGTATTGTATCAGAACACTTTCTGTGACAAGGACCTTGTAACAGCAATGTCCGAGTTTGCCATATTAATAGAGCATGCATAGGTATCTTGCATTCCAGACTCCTGTTGCTTTATTGCTAGTGGGACTGACAGTACATAACTTCCACCTCTGCAGTGAAGGTGGGGGAGTCAGCCCAATACTGCATGTAATCCATTTGCAACTTTCCCAGATTAATGATCTATTTTATATGCTCATATATTTGACACAATGGGTAGATTTTGCACTGCAACATCAAAACAGGTATTTATCAGATTTTTGTGTTGCATTACTGTTCATGAAAATAGCCTAAAATGATAATGGATTTTAATGGAATCAACTTATTTATAGGTCTTAAGAATGCAGCGTATTGTGTAATTTGATAGAATAATGAGCTGAAACTGAGTGATGTTTTTTTTTTTCGAAGACTCTACAAATGTCATCAATGAGCCCTGGATATTGGCATTGATGTTTCTTTGTTTACAGCAACCTAAGCAGTATCAGGATGGTGGAAGTTGTTGAAACAGATTGGTAAAGGAGAACTGCAGCCTAGCAGGTAATTGGTTTGTTCAGGGCTGGATGGAGGTTGTAACAACCTGACTTAAACTCTGTGCCTGTTTTTACAATCGCTTCATATAATTCCCATGCTGCTCACTTGATCTTTCTGCTCTTCTGGCACCTCTGTCTCCTGCACCTGCTTCCACATTATCTTCTGGGTTGGGGTTTCCTGTTTTAGTGGGAATTAGAAGCTCCTACTCAGAACAGTGCCATGGCCTCAGATTAGAAATTTATCTGAATTGCTTCCACTTCACACAGCGAATGGCATTTGTCGCTGTGTATACATATTTTCAACCATGGTTGCAGCTGTATACCCTGACTTGTAAAATACTAAACAGAAGTGAAGACAGGTCTTCCTTCTGAGGGTAGATCAGATGAGATCTGAAGACCATGTACCATAAAAAGAGACATATTGGGGCAGATGCAGCAAAATAGCAATGGTTTTGCTTATTTGTCACAGAGAAATCTTGAGTTCGCTTGATGATTTTTTTTTTTCCAAACCTGTTTTCAACAGTGGTTATGAATAATCACCAAAGAGCAAACCTTTAAGTTATGTTATGTTTTTCTGCAGGGTTGCAGGGTCTACTCTTCCTTAAAGAGTAAGACGTTTAGTAGTGGGGTGCATCTTGTAATAAAACCATTGCTCTTCCTAATTGAGAAGTGCGATTTGAGGCTTTTAAAACTCTTAGCAATTCACACTGAAGCTTTATTTGTCTTTTGGAAGATGTCAAGCAAAGAGGAGTAACTGTAGATGTTTGATGGGTTATTTAATGACAGTCTTTTCCATTATTCTACATTTAGGCTACTTACTAAGTTATCAGCATATTAAGAATATATTTCTATGTCTGGTGTGCCCACTGTACTAACGAAGCCATAGTTAAAATAACAGGATCAGTCTGACACCAATTTGCCAGAACAATTTTGCTTACTCCTTTCAGTGTGCTGCTGACTGCAGACATCCGCACAGAAGATCTTCCATTGTGTCTTCAGCTTCACTGTTACATGCAGCTGATACTCTGTTGAGTCTAAGATTGATCTTATTGATAAAGACTCTTTAAAATGAGAAGTTTATTTTAAATCTTTAAAAATGTTGGGTGGTAATAGCACTGCTGTATGTGTAAAAACCTGATGGAGTTGAGGCATATTTGGACCTTTATTTATTTTCAAATATTCTTTTTATTCTATATAAACAAATTGTGTACATGCTCGTTTAAGGGGTTCAAATTTGTTGTGCCTCTCCAAAGTTGCAAAGATTCATATCCATTGTGCATGTAAAGGAGGCATACACCCTCGATATATTGGGATTAATTACATTTAAGTTATTTGTTTCCTTGTTGTATAGCAGAGTTGCTATTTCCTCATATTTAGTAGGTGTAGTTACTAGAACAAAACGGCAAGCTGCAACTGTTGTGTTTGGTTTAGATATCGTATTTGTGTATAGCTGAATGAATACAGCATAGGTAAATTTGTGTAGAACTCTGCCCAATTCTGTTTCTGTGTTTTGGTGGGTCTTCCACCATTCCTAACCTGGCTGTGCTAGAGAGAGCTGGGCTTTCTGGGGAACCAGTGAATCAGATCTTCCATACATCTCTACAAAGCATTCTTCCACTTTTCCCAGCCACATGCCCTCTAATACAGTTCTGAACTGTACCAGAGCACATACACCTTTAGCTGTGTTTGACAAGTACCCCCTGGTGGCATGCATCACCTTATCTTAAGGGTCCATTCACACTTCTGGTTGCGATAACATGCAGCAATGTACGTTACATGCATTTGTGTGATGTGGTGCTTTAATTCTAATTGGCACCCCAATGCTGCTTACCAGAGGTTGTACGTGTACTTTTTGTGTGTTATTGGGCTCTAAAGAAAGCATTGAAAGCAAACTTTAACATTGACCTCTCCTTTTAATACTAGCTGTCATGATGACCCTCTTGCTACAGTACTTAGTACTTAAGTCATTTTCAATATTTTTAAATGTCCAGCCATTAAAATACTTGGTGATCCTTTCCTGAAGGTCCTTGTTCAGGCACTTCCTTTTATAGGGTACCAATGCTCTATCGCTCTCTGATAATTGAGCTTCTACATTGTCAACATGTTACAGTGGATTGTTTCAACACAGATTACATAGGCATGGCCTACTGTTGTCACCATCAGGAGGCCCACCCTGAGAAATGACATCTAGCTATCACAGGAGTGCATGTAGACAGGAGTGGCATCGAGATCAGCAGCACTGAGATGTAACAAATGATGGAAAAAGGGGGGGGAAATAAGTATTTTATTTTTTAAAAAAGGCAGTTCTTTACACAATGTATTTTAGCAAACTAAATTACATTTTGTTAGGGTCCACTTTATAATCACTGACACAGAACAGGTGTATTGACAAAAATTTCTGATGTCAGGAATTTAGACTATTAAAGCCAGTAAGTCAACAGGTAGACAGCTAGTTTCCCCAAATGGAGATCAGCAATACCAGACCCTTTTATTTATGTCAGGATAGATTTATTTCTAATACCTTATGACACTGTGTACTTCATTACCGGCACCACATACAAATTATACATGGTTCCCTATAAATATCTTATAGTCTTTCTGAAAGTCTATGACATTTTGATAAATTTATTTTTAAGAAGGACTTGAAAGTGCCATTAGTACCAATTGGGCATGGGTGTCACTGGCTGGATTGTGCATAGGAATGTATGGAATATCTGCAGGTAACCCGTGATGAAGCTGTATTGTCAGCTCTGTAGTGTGGGAAAGATCTAATGCCCATAAGGGGAGTAAACCCTGTCCTTCAATCTGAAACC